GTGTCTCTAACAACCCCATAAAGACCCAGGATACCATGTGTCTGACCACCCAGAGTTCATTTCTGGGCTTCCCATCCCAGCCTCAGCCCGGACACAATGCCTGGCTGTCTCCACACCCCCGGCAGCTGTGTGTGGAACAGTGAGTGGTGGGTTAGTGACCAGAGTCTCCAGAGTGATTAAGGGATTCTCCTGAGAACCTCCTCTTGAGCCACAGCAGCCTTTTGAGCTCTCAGAGACCCCTGTGGACAAGTCCCTGGGGGTCCAGCATGGAGGGTGGGAGCATGTCCCACTAACCAGGTTTCCTTGAGCAAGTCCTCAGCCTCCTTGCACATCCAGTCCCTCAGCTGTGAAACGGGCTCATGATGGTGCCTCCCTGCTGGGTCGTGTATGGGATTAATAAGTGCAGGTTACTGTTCAGAGCTTACCTGCTGTTCTTATCACTCACTTACTGTGCACCTACTGTGTCTGGGACTCACAGGGACCAGGCAGGTGGTGCTGGGACCTCCCGCTGGGGCTTAGCATGGTCTCTGGAGCCCACTGAGGACTCAGCATGTGAGACCTCTGGTTTTTGTGGCTGCTATGAAGCCCTATGTCCTCTCCATGTGGCCCTCCCCAGGCAGACCCTGTGAAAGGCAGGAGCGGCAGAAGGGTCCTCAGAACAGCTGCTGAAGTGTCACGGGTGCTCTCAGCCTGGCAGTTTCCAACTTGTATTAATGCATGTTGTTTTTTTTTAACACCACCTAAGAGTTTGGAAGTTGCCCTTAGGAGGCCTGAGTAAACGGGGAGTTAGGGCGCTTTCACCTGCAGAGGGAGAGCTGCAACCGGGCGGCCTCGCTTTCTTCCAGCCCCTGTGCCAGGCATCCAGCTGAGCCATGCCAGATGCGCTTGGGGCAGACCCACAGGCTTCCTAATAGATGCGGCACATGCCAGGCCCTTGCTGTGTGCTAGGCACTGTGGCAAGCACTTTTTCTTTACTGTCTTGTTAAATCCTCCCCATAACTCCCAAGGCCGGCACACAGTAGGCATGTGCCAATAAATCCTCACTGAATGAACACCTAGAGCATCTGGGTGGGTCTGAGTCCGAGCTGGGAGGGTGAGTAGGGTCTCCATGCCCTTGCCAGCCTAGAGGGGGGCTTCATGGGAATCAGGAACAAATGCCTCTATGCCAAGCTCAGCAAGCCCCTGGTGCCTCTGAGTAGGTGAAGGCGCCCTTTCCTAGGAGTGAATGCCACCTGCACCAGGGCTCCCCTGGCGGCGTGGGTGGCCCTGATGATCTGAGTGGAATGCCCATCCTAGGCTCTCACCCCTCCACTCTGAGTTCCCACACATCCGCCTGATGGGTGTAACCAGAGCTCCAACCAGGACATCATCACCAGAGAGTGGGGACTGGGAGTGGAGATGCCCCTGAGGAGGTGTCCAGAGAGGGCCTGGGATGTGACCTGGATGTCCTGGCCCAGCCCTCTGGACAGAAACCCCCACAAAAGCGCTGGTGGAGGGTGAGGCTGGGAGGGGTCCTCTTCTCCTATGAGCCTTGGGGCCCCACCTCCAGCCACCTGCACCCCCCCTACAGGGAGCCCAGTTTACTTTAGAGTCCAGAGGGTCTCATCTTGCTGGACAGCTGTTTCAGGCCTTGGGGACCACCCTGGAGTTGGCCTGGAGCCTGATCACCTGCGCTGAGTCTGACAAACCCAATGTCAACAGGCCAGCTTAGCAGGCTTTTCTCAAATTGATTTTCTGACCATCCAGGCTTCACGGTCAAGCTACTGGATGTGGGAGAGGAGGCCCAGGAGTCTTAGCCACTGGGAGGCAGGTGATTTGCTGTGTGGGTTTGGGTTCTGGGGGCTTTCTTAGCTGTCCCACCCCTCTGGGAAGCCCAGTGCTATTGTTCAGGACAGGCAGCTGACCGCTGGAGGGGTCCGGTCAGGGGGAACCTGGGCCAATTTCAGGAATCTGCTGTGTGACTTGCCATAAATCTCTCCCTTTCGCTTTGCCAACTATAAAAGGAGGGGATTGGTTTAGATCAGGAATGGAGAGGGGGACCTGGAGGTGCTGTCTCTTGCTAAGGTGTGTTGAGAGGGTGGGCTCTGGACTACAAGGGGAGGTTGACTCCCACTCTGCCACTTAGAGCCATGTTGCCTTGGCCAGGAGGTTTCACCTCTCTGAGCCTCAGTTTCCTCATCTGTAAAATGGGGATATGTACAGCACCTATGGTTGTGGTGAGGATTGCAGAAGATGCCCATAAAGTTCGGAATACAGTGCTGGCACGCACTCAGTCACTGTCACAATTATCATCACCATAACTGTCCCCTCCTCCTATCTTCTCTGCACCTCTGGAGCTGGGTCATTGTGAAATGCTGCTCCGACACCCAGCATCCTGCCCTCCCACTGTTCTCTCCATTCCCACACTCACGTACCTGACTCTGCAAGCAAGTTCTCTACTGGAGTCCCAGCACTCCTGCCCCTAGGCCTTTTT